GTTATATTATGCTCAAGTCCTTAGATGATGTTGGCCGCACTACTTGGGCAACTTGTGTCAAAAATATTTTATTTAAGTATGGTTTTGGCAATGCATGGATCAGTCAGGATGTTGGCAATGTTGATTATTTCATATCCTTGTTTAAGCAGAGACTTTCGGATAATCTTAAACAATGTTGGTCCATTTCAATTCAAAATTCTAATAAGTGTTTTTATTACTCCCAATTTAAGACATTTTTAAATGTGGAAAGGTATTTAAATTCTGATATTCCTTTACATCTCAGATCTGCACTCTCTAAATTTAGATGTGGTAATTTTTATTTAGCTGTTGAAACTGGAAGATACAATAAAGTTAATTACAATGAGAGATTATGTCTATTTTGTGAATTGGATGACAAAAATGTTATTGAAGATGAATTCCATGTACTCTTTAAGTGTGAACGTTTTTCTGATTTAAGGTTAAGATATATTCAGAAATATTTTACTGATTTTGATCCAAATTCCAATTTTATTAACATTATGAAAACACATAATGATTGTATCATAAGAGATGTCAGTATTTTTCTGTATCATGTACTTCAGCGCATTAGAAATGTCCCTCTTACACAGCATGTGCACTAAACTATCTATATCATATGCAAATGACTGTATGATGGGCCTGTGGCCTTTTACTGAATAAACTTGTCTGTCTGTCTATGTTAATGTATGGGAGTTACGATCACCTTAGTGCTAAGTTCGCTTTGTACAACCCTGGGCCTAGATTTTAGAAGCTCTCTTAGCACTAAGATAGTCGTAAGTGCCATACATTAACATTAACTTTCGACTATCTTAGAGAGCTTCGAAAATCTATGTAACCAACCAAAGAGCATTTTATTAAGGTATTTCATTTATTACCTCTTGAATTACAAGAGCATCGATTTATCTGGGAAGAACTAGATTTTTTCTATGTAGGGCACACGTGTGTGCTGCATAAACCCGGGACTGATTAGGAACACACTCAGAGAACAAAGATAAGCATTGTTGTTTTATTGGCTAAGTTGATTCTGTTTGCTGTTTAACGATGCACTCAGCATATATTCCAGCAACGGCGGTTATTGGCCAAGAAACATACATTAGTTAATGTATTATCGACATATTTGATGGGCTGCCACTTTTGTGAGATGAATTATATTTTGTCAGCGTCGATTAGTTTCGTCTATTTCGCTTAACATCAAGTTTCTTTAAAAACGTGAATATTCGAGTTTTTGAAAGAAACCTGTAACTTGAGGTGACGGGAAAATAATCTAAGCAATGAGAAAATACCAGAAATTTCAAGCATTCAACAAATGAAATAAGGCTAAAGTAACCGAAGCTACGAGGAAATGTTCGAAATTTCGAGGATAATTGTACTTGAAAGAAGATGAAGATGATGGAGTTAAAAGTTAGATACATCGACAATATTTCAGCCATATCGTGTGAGTGAGTGTGTTAGTGTGCATGTGTGTGTGCGTGCATGCTGGCCAGCGGGGTGAGTACAATCTCCGTCATACAGCTGGAATATTGCTGGTTGCGGCGTTAAACAACAAACAAATCTCCCAGAGAACGTGCGAAGTACTACAGGGTAACGAATTAACCATCGGAATGATTTTTATGGTCAATCGATGACCAGACACAATAACAGTTTTTTCCCAGCCTTTCTGTCCCTCCCCTCCTTCCAATACAATGTTTCTTGCACATTTACCGATTGGCAAATGTGAAAGCTTATGTTGTGAAATCATTAAGAACTAATTGGAATTTCCTGTCACACAAAAACAATAATCCATTGATATGGGTTAGACTGTAACGTTTCTCAAAGAATGTGTTAGGTATCCCAGTGCCCTCGAAAAACAAGGAGCTACTACCATCAATACCATTGATTTGATTCCTGGCCATTTATTTAACACGAGTATCAGTTAGAAACGCGGTGAAACTCGTTATCTCATATCAAAAGACCATGGCAACCAGAGGCCAGCGAAGGCACATAGCAACCAGACAAAGACGCTGATGCCTCATAGCAGTCAGGCATTTCTTCCAAGAAAAGTGTCAGAGTCAGATCACTTGAAGGAAGTCTTCAGGATGATTGGGGAAGTTTTATTCGTAGCTCTTTATGTGACATCTGGCGAAGGTCTCGGGAACATCTTTACCCACATGCCGGGTGAGGATGACTTTCTTCTTGAAGAATGGTATGAAGACAACCAGCCGGCCACGCGGCAGGAGTGTGCAATACTGTGTAACAGCGACCAAAACTGTTTCTTCTTTTCCCACAATAACGACAATTGTCGCCTGTTTACTCATTACGACATTACATCAACCACAAAAATCGACGTGCTTGGAATGAAGACCTATGGGAGAAACCGTACGTAAATTGTCATCGTAATTTTATAACCCATTTGGGTTTTTGTTATTTAACAGATAGATACATGTTTTACATGAATGTTTTCTCTTTATGTTTGCTTTTGTTTAACGTTGCACAAACTAATGATTGACATCATGAGCATCGATCTACGAATTCGGGATGCGATGACGTGCGTGAATCAGGACCCCGTTTCACAAAGCAATCGTAGCGCAAGGTTGTCGTAACTTCGTAGCGCAAGGTTGTCGTAACTTCGTAGCGCAAGGTTGTCGTAACTTCGTAACGCAAGGTTGTCGTAACTTCGTAGCGCAAGGTTGTCGTAACTTCGTAGCGCAAGGTTGTCGTAACTTCGTAGCGCAAGGTTGTCGTAACTTCACTGCTTTAACATAAACACCCGACAGTGGTTGTGCTATAAAACGTTCATGAAACTGGGGTCTGAACAGCGTTCGTGACCACCCGATTTCCCCAGTCGATCCCTTACGATAAACATGGGTTGCTGAAGATCACTTCTAATCCAGATCTTCACGGGCCTTTTCCCTTTGTGGTAAAAGTAATGGAATTTAAACGTCCCAAACAATCTCAATAGCTTTAGATGGTTTAATAAATTTTGTATCAGATTTCAACAGACAATCTTCGCATTTTCCTGTTGCAAACCTTTGTTAGAGGTAATACTGAGTATATATCATTTCTCAGCGTGTCGCTTCAATGTCAGTCATTTACATTGTTCTTCCCGTGAAGGTCCGGGTCAGAATTGGTCTTCAGTAACCTATGCTTGTTGTAAGAGGCGACAAACGGGATCGGGTGGTCAGACTCACTGATTTGGTTGACACATCGTATCCCAATTGCGTAGATCAATGTTCATGATGTTGATCACTGGATTATCTGATCCAGACTCGATTATTCACAGACTGCCGCCATATAGCTGGAATATTGCTGAGTGCGGCGTAAAACAACAAATCAACCAACCAATAAGAAGTTTTGATGAAATTTTGTATCCGATTTCAACAATCTTCGCATTTTCCTGTTGTCGTTTTTTAAAGGTAATGCTAAATATATACCATTCCTCAGCGTGTCACTTTAGATCTTTCAAGTCAGTCATTTACATTGTTCTTTAAAAGCATTTTACAAATCTCCAACGTCATGTGACACGGACTGATATCCAAGTTTTATAGCTGACACTTAAAAAATCCCGAATGCGCTCAAATGTTTTTATTTATATTTTTGGTGAAGAAAATGAAACAAATAGGTGTTCGTCCCTCATCACTTTTGTTTTCAATAAAAACTAAATAATATATCTTACCTCCTTCCTGTTGCCAAGGAGATAAATTCGTCGTTCCCTTTACTTACTCCTTTAAGCAACATATGCCAAGTAAATACTTAATTCAACCTGTAGTACAATGATTCGTGAAGATCCGGGTTAGAATTGATCTTCAGTAATCCATGCATATTTTAAGAGGCGACTAACGGGATCGGGTGGTCAGGCTCACTGACTTGGTTGACACATGTCATCGTATACCATTTGCTTAGATCGATGCTCATTCTGTTGATCACTTGATTGTCTGGTCCCGACTCGATTATTTACAGAATAGCTGGAATATTGCAGCGTTAAAAATAAACAAACAAACAAACAAACAAACACTTGTAGAGCTGAAAAAGATAACACAGGAAATCATTCTTGACATCAGCAAAACCCACTGGCAGAATAACAGTAACTATTTCGTCTTTCAAGGTTGTCCCTCCAAGTACGTCCGGGTGGAAGACACGTGTGTGCGGTTTTCGGATACAATGGAGGACAATGACGGCGCCAGGAGCCGGTGCCTGGAGGAGGGCGCGCACCTGCTGTCCATCGCCACCGACAGCAAGTTCGACATGATCACTAACTTCATTGGCCATAACCGTAAGTACCGGCTAAAATGATAGATATAGTATACATATTTTTATATTACATGTCAGTTTGACATAAACCACGAACCATTATATGATAATGATGTATATAATATAGGATTGGTATATTTTTAGTAAAAGGGACTGGTCCTTGCGTCGCTTCTGTAAATGAGGGCAAGTTACAATCCTTGATTTCATTAATGATATTCGTTAATTGTTTTAAAGAAGAATAGCGTTGAAAATTCCGCCACATGATACGGAGGTCTAATTTCGTGAAAATTTATATCGCGACTGTTCTGGGATTTTGTCATAATGAACAAAGATTACTTTGCTTCAATTTGTAATATGAACTTTGTCGGTGTCGCTACCAAAACGCACTTTTGCCGCATTGATAAATAACTTTATTATAGAAAACTGTACATTTCAGATGTCTTCATCATGTCAATCAGGGTATCCTTGCGAAAAAACTCACCCTGCAGACAAGGTGCAAAATGGCCCGCAGATTAAATTTGCATTTCTACAGTGACTTTCGAACACTATTCTGATTGGTTAATCGCCAGATGTGAAGATCCAGGTTAGAATTGGTTTTCAGTTACCCATGCTTGTCGTAAGAGGCGACTAACGGGATTGGGTGGTCAGACAAAGTAATACGTTATATTATGTTAAGTTATATTATGTTAAGTGATTATAAATGTAGAACAAAACCATATAATATGGTGTTCAATTCTCTATTGATGTTGCGTAACGTTGGCTGGAACATATTTTACTTTGTAAAAGACTCACATCTTGTGCAAGCAAATTCTATTGATATAAAATTCATTTTAATGTTTAAAAAAAAGCTCAATGTTTGAAGAAACAAGACGCAAAACTTTGTTATCGGCGTTTTCTTGATTTATATTGACACCCACTCAAACCTTTCACTCAGTATCTTCGCTTACATAATACAGCTCATGTTCAGTGTTGTTGATTGGAGCTAAGCCTACTGTGTTTCGAACCATATTATCTGAGTGAGTGAGTGAGTTTGATTTTACGCCGCTTTTAGCAATATTCCAGCAATATCACGGCGGGGGACACCAGAAATAGGCTTCACACATTGTGCCCATGTGGGGAATCGAACCCGGGTCTTCAGCGTGACGAGCGAAAGCTTTAACCCCTAGGCTACCCCACCGCCCCATATATTATTTGGGGATATAACCCCGCTAGAGCTAACATTTGGAGTGAGTGAGTGAGTTTAGTTTTACGCCGCTCTCAGCAATATTCCAGCTATATGGCGGCGGTCTGTAAACAACTTGGTCTGGATCAGACAATCCAGTGATCAACAGCATGAGCATCGATCTACGCAATTGGGAACCGATAACATGTGTCAACCAAGTCAGCGAGCCAGACCACCCGATACCGTTAGTAGCCTTTTACGACAAGCATGGGCGACTGAAGTTCTAACCAGGATCTTCGTTGTTGGTCGACCGAGTTGATTAGGCTGGAGATTTCGACGCCATGTTGAAATCCATACAGTAGTCACGGTCGAATTTTGGTATTAATGTAGAATCTTTGTTGACTGGTAGAGAATCTGTTACATTTTGTCAAAATCCAAGACGAGTCACAGTTGATCACTTGGTGAAAATTCAGTGGAATATTCAATCATAGACAGTGAAGTCAAAGAATCGGTTCGGAGCTCTGACCTGAGCGACCTATCTATCCGCCATGTTGGGATTATTTAATTCGCTCTATACCAAACATAAATATTGTAATCACAAAGGTAATGTTGAAAGACGTATTCAATTAGATTTGTTGCCATTATCATATAACAAGACAACTTGCAAAGGCACCAATCCAGAGCAGTAAAATTAGACAGACGGCAATAATTTAAAGGAATCAACACTATATTTATAAGGTTTATCGTCACCCTTTAAGTTGGTAGCGAGTGAGTTTTAGCTTTACGCCGCTTTTAGCAATATTCCAGCAATATCACGGCTGGTGACACCAGAAATGGGCTTCACACATTGTACCCATGTGGAGAATCGAACCCGGTCTTCAGCGTGATGAGCGAACACTTTAACCACTAGGCTACCCCATCGCCCCAGCTCTCGTCGACGACGGCCGCGGATATTACTGAAAGTTCTGCGTTGTCCCAGCGGCTAAACTTAACTGCAGTGAACTAAATGTAGTTAAATAAAACCTGCAGGTAAATTTTTATCGTTATGTAAGAAGATCCGTGTAAACAATGCCGTCTTTGTGTCGCAATCGCAATAATCAATGCCGATACTAAATAAGAACAACAACACATAACAAGTAGGTTATAGTTTTCAGGGTTGACAAGTTTGTTTTAAAGAAGAATGAAAGTGCCAGAGGAATTAATATTGATTCATGAAAACTCGGTTATGATATAGTAAGAATTGTACATTCTATTTTATTGACATTTTATAAGTTGATGAATGCTTGACAACGGTCTAAGATTCTATACCGAACCCTCTCATCATAATAAAAAAAATAAATCATACCATTCAGAATCTAGCAATACTTTTCGTAGAAAGTTTAGGATAGGATAATTTTATGATAATGGAAATGATCTTCGTTGCTTTTATTTATCATTTAATTCCATTTAAAGTCCTGATAGGAATAAGATTTCGGTTAGAAAACCACTACGTATACATAAGTGAGTGAGTTTAGTTTTGCGCTGCGTTTAGCAATAGGCCGCCTCCGTGGTGTAGTGGTTAGAGCGTCCGCCCGGAGAGCGGAAGGTCGCAGGTTCGATCCCCGACCGCGTCATACCGAAAGACGTTAAAATATGGTACTTGTTGGTCCCTGCCTGGCGCTCGGCATTAATGGGTACAACAAGGACTGGTCAACTCGGAGTCAGTATACTGTGTCTGAGTGGGGTATTCATGCTTCACTGCGGCATGGTATCTCAGTGGGCTAGCAATATAAAACCAGCTTAAGTCTGGGCTAGTACAAGCAGCCGCACATACACATACACACGCATGCACGTCGTCATATGAGCGAAATATTCTCAAGCACGACGTTAAACCCAATTTCAACTCACCTCACCGTTTAGCAATATTCCAGCCAATATCACGGCTGGGGACACCAGAAATGGGCTTCACACATTGTACCCATGTGGGGAATCGAACACGGGTCTTCGGCTTGACGAGCGAACGCTTTAACCACAATGCTACTCCACCGCGATATTTCGGTCGGTAGCATTCAATCTTGGCATTTTGTTACCTTCGTTTACGTCGTAAATTTCGTAATGAAATTATGAATTTGATTTGGCCCTTTATAGTCGATGTTTCAACTCATGGTTCCGACACACTGCACGTGCATTACATGGAAAACGTTTTCTTCATGCACTTTTCATGTATCGTTTCCATTTTATATGACAAACGTTTACAAACACTTTTTGGGATGTCAAAATATATCGAAAAGTTTTGCAAACGTTTTAAATCACCAAAATACATTTACGTTGAATATTAATGTGACGCTATGAATACTTCATTTAAAGCCAGCCCCCCTTTACACAGGGCAGCGACCGCTCTGCCTTCTCTCTGCGTTCTCAAAATTTTCAGAACGCCACTGAACGCTCAAAGGAGGCACGACGAATGCAGAGAGAAGGTAGAGTCATCGACATGAAGGCAGAAAGAAGGCAGAGCCAACGCCGAGAACGGCTCAGAACGCCACTGTAGTGGCGACTGTATTGAACATGCTCAAAACAAACGCAGAGCGGTCGCCATCATGGTGGATTGATCTCAGGACGCAGAGGGAAGGCAGAGCTAAGGCAGAGCCATCACCGAGGTCGCAGAGTGAAGGCACAACGGTTGGCGAAAGGACGGCACATAAAAACTTCGTAAACTGCGGCGTTGCCCCTGCCTTCTCACTGCCTTCATTGTGCGTCCGCCGAGCATCCATTGGTGTTCGTTGAGCATTCACTCGGCCTTCATTAAGCGACTAGCGCATCCCTTTGAACAACCACGGCGTTCGCTCTGCCTCCCCTCTGCCTTTCCAGATTACATATAAATAGGTCTTGTACTGCCGATTTCCACGGTATTTGAGAACTGCCGTGCTTGCGATCAGACGTCTCACCATGCCTCCAAGAAGGTATGCTACCTAAAAATTACCGAAAACATTGGTCAATAGGAAAATGTTACTGCTGACAATGTTTTTTAAGATATGAACAAAATTGAAGACAAACAATATGCACACAATGATACTTTATTTGGAAATCCAGATCTTCATAATAAACTCATAAGACTAATGTAGAGTAATGATAGCAATATGAACATCATCAAACAATTCCATCCGCATAGCAATTCAGTTCCATACACAACACTTCAAATCATACGGTCCTGCCATGGAACCGATCCAGCTACATTGTTGAAGCACCACTTCAGATACTCTCGCAACTGTTTTCATGCTCGTGTGTCTCGGTTTGGTCCAACTACTTGTGAAACATCATGCATATTTGCTTGTTGTCTCCATTCTCCAGGTATGAGGTCGTGGTTAACGTCTTCAGTGTCAAGTGCAGCATTCTGAAGCGTTGGATATCGGTCTCGCATTGTATTGTGAAGACAAATGCAAGCTTCAGCTGCATCGTTGAAAGTAGAACTTGAAATCGTTGAGCCAAAATGCCAAACACATTTTCAACTACTCTTCTTCCACGAGAGATACGATAGTTGAAGATCCGTTGCTGAGTGCCCTGTTTGAATATGGCTTCATCATGTATGTTCTGAGGGGAAATGCATCATCCCCGAGTAGGAAGAATGGTATGTCACGGTCTTTATTCGGCAATGGCTCAGGAGTTGGAAAGTTTATTGTGCCATCTTCGAGGCAGGCCTTCAGTTCAGATTCCTTGAAAATCTAGCTGTCTGACATCGTTCCAACACCACCTACATCACACCATAAAAATTTATAATTTGCATACACTAATGCAAGAAGGACAAGAGAGAAGTATCCCTTATAGTTGTGGTAGAGACTACCTGTGTTTGGTGGACAACGCACGGCTATATGTTTCCGATCAATGGCTCCACATGCATGGGGTAAGTTCCAACGTCTCTGGAAGTCATCTGCAACAGCTTTCCACTCTTGGGAGTTCCTTGGGCATTTGGCAACTTCATTCTTATATTCATCTCTGATAGGTTTGTAAACTTCAGCCACAAAAATGGAGATCGTGCTGCTTGACACACAATACTGGTACTGGAGGCTTGGGGTATTTGTACCCAGTTGCAAGAAACCTGAGGGTTACGGCAAGTTTCAAACCAGGCTCTAAGCTAGCTCGCCAATTCGTGTTCTGTTTGGCAATTCTTGGGCCAACCCGTTGGAGGAGTTCGTCAAATGACCCTTCTTCTTCTAGACGCAGTTCTTGCATTAGTTGGTTGTAGTGCCTGAACTGCAACCGTCTCTGTTGCATCAACCATGGGCGGACCCACAGGGTTCTCAATCTTCTTCTTCTACGTCTATTCATCCTTCTATTTAAGATTGCAATGGCTATCTGGTTGCAAAACAATGCTTAGCTATTTGTAAAAGCCATTCATATTGTTCATGCCTACTGAATTAGTTATACGATGATTTCACTTAGCATAAAGGTTGCCGAACAGTCGCCACAGAGCGCAGAGACTGACGCCCCAGCCGACAAGGGAGAGCCACTGCTAAGTCAACAAGGACCACTTCCACTGACTGAGTTTAGCATGATTTTACGCCGCTTTTAGCAATATTCCAGCAATATCACGGCGGGGGACACCAGAAATGGAAATTTACATGGCCGACCTGGAAGAGAAGGCCCTAGAAACTGCACCCTTCAAACCGTCCTGCTGGTACCGCAAAGTGCTCCAACCTCAGCAAGATCCAAAGCAACACATTACAGGAAGAAATTGAACACCTGCCCAAACGTGGGGCTTTCAATCGAACCCCCATCAAGGTCTTCGGCGTGACGAACAACCTCCTCCATGCCAACCCACCGTCAACAACAACAAACCCAAAATGTGTTATTTACGCTTTAACCATTAGGTGGTCCGACATCACCATTCTCGCCACCGGACCACTAAACGCAAGCTCCGCCCCAGAGCGCAGAGAAGGATCCACTCCTCCACCAGAGCGAACGCCAAAGAATGCACAAGGGCAAGGCACAACGGTCGGCGAGAAGGCAGAAGCAACGCTGAACGGACGCCGTTAATTGCATATGATAGTACAGAGAAGGCACACGGGAGGCAGAGAGGACGAGGACGCCTAGGACGCTCAAAGAACGCCACTGAAATGTCAAAAATTGGCAGCCTAGGTCGTACAAGAAAGGCACAAGGGGCGCCACGCCTGACACTGAAACATAGGTTTGGCGACCGCTGGGCGTCCTAGTAATGTTTAGAACGCAGAGAGAAGGCAGAGCGGTCGCCGCCCGGTGTAAAGGGGGCCTAATTACAAAACTGAAGGGTAACAGTAGGACGAAATGTCGGCAACAAAGTGCAAACCCTATTCGGTCGAACGAGGGACCACATTGTGTAGAATCGCAAGCCTGACACTGAAAAGTATGGACATAGGTTTGAAGCTTACTACAATAGGGGTTGATGCGCTACATCTCGATATCAAATTTTCAAGATTAGACTCATTGTGACGAAAAACATTATGTACCAAAGCCTATTCGTCTCCCCTCGCCGCCATCTCTGACGATTTGTATGCCGTTTCGGGATGCCAAGACTGCCGTTTTTTGGATGCTATGACAGCCGATTTGTACGCTCGGCGACCGTTCTCGGGCGCTCTTGCAGCTTATGCGCGAGTTTTGTTTCTATTTCAAACGATTAGTTTTCCATTACAGATGCGTTTATTTCGGTTTTAGAGGAAACTGTTGCAGTTTTAAAAGTTTATTTTCCTATTTTGGTGATTTTTGTTCTGTTTTGGTGTATATGAGTTCAGTTTTGAGGATTTGTTCACCGTTTGTATGGTAGGCCTGGAAATGAACTGTTGAAAACGCCTGTGCGTTTCTTTTTTTTGAAGGATGTAGTTAGCGTGCAGTGCGGATTTGCAGGTACAGCTCTAAATGTGTGTTTTTAATTTTATCTAAAACCTTTTACTTTATTGCAGTGATTGACACACTAGCCCGCCGGACACTGGGCGCTAGCCGCCAGGCAGGACAGTGGGTGTGGCCGGACGGGTCCACCCTCGAAAATAACTCCACGTTGTGGTGTCCGGGGGGAACCCAGCCATGCAATAGTCTGCATGCAGCTTTACGAGAACAGGTGCTACAAGGACGGCTCCTGTGGGAGCCTTCACCAATATATTTGTGAACAAGCACTGAATTAATAGCTCTTAAAACATGAGACTGTAGGCTGTCCACAATTTAAGAATCGATGATACTGATATGGCAAGAAAACGAGTTATTGGTGTAAACAAGGCTGGAGAAATAGCACACGACCAATCTTGGAAAAAGCGACTACAATTAGAAACTGAAACCAGTGTCGCACAATGATCTATATTTGTGAGATTCATGGCGGATTCATGATGTGCTACATAGTTCGACTTTGGCATGAAACGTTAAATGAAAAGGTTTGTTTGGTGTGTATATATCCTGTTCCTTGACGTAAACCCTGACCCTTTAAATAACAAACGGGCACAGGACCTGAAAATAGTCTTATCTCCAGGTTTTACCCAAACGTGCGTGTACATTCATTGTTTTCCATTTTGTTCAATTACGCACGTCGGCATCAGACTCACTATTTGGCAAAATAGTGTGTCGTGAAAGATGTTCTGTATTCTCATTGGCTAAGATGCCATTCTAAGGTTATGACCGAGCACCAAAACTATTTACATAACTAAAAACTACGGAAATATACATTTTCGTGAATAGTATTTTATAATTCACCAGTTTTGGGAGAATAAATTCTCTGCGTCGCGTCCTTTGTATGGTGATCTACCTTCAGTTGTTGGCGATCTATAGCCCATTTTTACATTGTATTGTCCAAACATGCTTTTCTACTTTTAAAGACATATGGTAGCTAGTTTTAACTCAATCTGTGATAATCTAGTGGTTTTACTGTCCTTCGTTGACAGGGTTTTATATATTATATGTATGTATTATGAACTTATAAATAGTTTTAGTCACGATATGGCTGAAATATTGCTGATGTTACTTTAAATCTTAACTCACTCACTCTCTACTCTTGTCTCTTATATTATCTCTGCTCGACCAGGCTGGGATCGTGTATGGAGACTAGCTACGTTATTAATGAGGACAAGGATCCTAACTTTTTTCAACAAAATAATTCCAGTGTAATTTTTATAGCAGATAATTTCTATTTTCCCCCGTCTGAAGCATAATATATTTTTGAAAGTCACCACCCTGCACTCACCATTTGACACAAAAGGAACTGCAATCACATTTCAAAAAATGTTTTCTTAGGGATTAGTCATTCATTTATAGGGATGGGTGTGCTGGTTGGACTGTATCACATTTTGCTGACAAATAATATTCCTGATAAATTATATGATCTATTTCTAAATTTATTTTGACATCAAGCGGTGCCTCCGGCTCCATTTCATTTGATTCTTCTTTTTCATCTTCACGGGAATATTGTCATACGAGTACGTTTTTTGTGTGTTTATTGCGATTTTACAAGCTTTTTGTGAAATCTTAATAACGGAAGCTGACTTTTAGGATGTTTTTTTTTCCAAATATCAAAAAAATAAAATTACGTTAGTATTCTCCTTTAAAGCATATCTGATGCATGCTTCTTTGTATTTCATCCTTACAGACTGTATAATGGACAACTGACCTCCCATATTTCTGATTTGAATACAATCCAAACATGCCAGAGTGCTGTCATGTGACTTCGATTTACACGAAAATGGGACCGCCTTTGACACCACATCATGGCACATCATAATCTACATGCAATAAGCTTGCCAGAGAGCTATAATATGTCCATACAAGAGATGAGGGCATCAAGTCGATGCCCTAAACCCTAGCATGCTTCTCCTACATGCCATTGTTGTACCAATACCTAAGCTAATACCTGAAAGTAATGAATTACAATATAAACAAAAGAAAAATCGATTAAACAGTAAACATACAGATCCTTATATACAGATGGATCCAAGGATGGTGGCGCAGTTGCTTGTGCCATTGTCACTGGATCCAGAACAACATCTTCTGGATTACCAGATGATAATTCAATTTTCACAGCCGAAGCAAATGCCATTATGATATTAACTGCCCTAAAATATATTAATAATCATCCTACATATAAACAATATATGATCTTTTCAGACTCTCTTTCGTGTCTTCAGACTATTAATAATCTTTCTTGTAAACATGCACTTTTAAACAAAATAATTGAATTATATAATGATCTTGCCACTGGATAATACGACATCGTCCTCTGTTGGAATTCCTTTTAACACAATGGCCGATTTTGCTGTTAAGGCAGCACTAAACAAATCTGTGACGCCACTTCTGATCCCATACTCCCATTACCAAGCTGTTATTTGATCCTATATCCGTGATCTGATGCAAAAGTGGGACACCCAAGTAGGTATAAATAAGTAACATCAAATAAAACCAACAACTGGTTACACCGACTTGGGTTGTCAGTCCAGATTTGAAGAGGTCATTATGCGACGATGCCGCATTGGCCATACGCGATAAACACACTAATACTTGCTAAAAGGTGAGGATCCTCCGTTTAATCAATTATTTTGTAAAGGAAATAGAATTATTAGATAATTTAAAAAAAATGTTTTGTGAATAGATAAATGGTATTTTATATGTGGTAGTTTAAATTAGCAACTGCGATTGGTATCGGTGGCGGTATCCTCAAGGGAGGTTGAAGTACCGTAAAATCCTCCTGAGAGAATACGTAAGTCCCAAACCATTCCAAGTAAAGTTTGATCTACCACATTTTTAATCGTAGTATTATTGTCATTTTAATTTGTGGCTAAATTTGCCAACAGTCACCAGCGACTGAAGGGATGGTGTAAACCAAGCTAAAGTGCTGTCCGAAATAGGAAAAAACTGTTGTTAGGCTGTTACTCTGTATCCCTACAATTTACACTGCTGCAAGTAGTATATGTTGAAATAACCCACACCGGCCTAACTTGGCATTCAGTGGGATGTGTAATAGGATATCCAGAAATGCATGTTTACTCGTAAAATCGGACAAAACTTAGAAAACCTACGTTTCCTATCTCCCTACCACTGAGACTGTAGTTAGGCCGAACTTAGTTTAACAGATATTTCACACTTTCACATATTAACTTCATAAATTGTAGATATATATGTGAAAACAGTTTTTTTTCTATTTCCGACAGTACTTTAGGGTCCATGCAGGTAGCAAATGTACTGTAAGTCCCCATGGTCCCCAGTATGGTGATCTACCTTCAGTTGTTGGCAATCTATAGCCTGTTCTTATATTGTATCGTTAATGATAGAAATAGTGTTTTATGGATATGCTAGTTTAAGTATAAATCTGTGATGGACTAGTTTTTACTGTCGTTTACAGACAGGTAAGTATATCAGTTTGTGTTTATTCATTTATACATTTACAACTTTTCATTGTCACGATATGGCTGACATACTGCCAATGTGACTTTAACTTTAAACTCTCTCACGCACAACTTTATGCTGCGATGCTGATGTCAAACTGTTTGCTCGCAGCAAGTGGAAGTCAGAACGAAACAATTGGCAAATCCTATTTTTTTTACCAAAAGTGATGGCAGCTCAGCCAACATCCCCGGTGCAGCCCCTTGCACAGAGGATACCTAGTATACACATAGGTGCTGACACACAGCATATCCTGTACGCTTTCTGTCGTACACACATCTTTTGACACGCCCTGTGCGCCCAAATGGTGACCTGATCACCATGCTGTAGATATGGCACACATCTCAATGACTCTTTATGTTATCTTTACCTGTACCTGTAGATTGCTCTTTATATCTGTCACTGGTCGATGTAAACCAGACTTGATAACTTACATGTCGCCGTGATAAAACTTTGATTTTGCCCAGTCCAGCAAATCCACAGTTCACCAAACATCTATCGCGAAGGTTTGGATTCGAATTGGCGATCAGCAGCCATTACTTGTGGTAAGAGGCGACTAACGGGATCGGGTGGTCAGACTCGCTGACCTGTTGTGTCGATCGTTGCTCATGTTGTGGATCACAAGATTTGTTAGTCCAGATTTGATTGATAAATACGATGGGCAGATATAGGACTGTTTTGGTCTCGTTTGAATCGTTTTTTTCTGTCACGTGCTGATGTTTGTTGAAGTTGAGAGGAACGCTAAGCTCCAAACTGCATGTAAAATGTGTTTGGTTTTGGTGGTGGAAGAGTAAGGAATCCATAATGGTAGAAGGACGGCCCTTGCACCTGTATCAAGTCTAGTAGTGGCCATCAGATATCAATACGTGATCCCACAACTGCACGCCATTCCGCACACACATGAACATCAAAGGTTGACGGTTAAGGCATGGCAACGGCAAACGACATGCTTTTATTAGCACAACATCGACAAATCACCTTGTCCTGTCCGTTCGCCGGACATGTCCGAATCAGTGTGTGCCCAGGAAGATCCCACCATGCCATACGCTTCCGCAAGCCCGTACTGTACTGCAACATGAGCAAAAATAGCGAACCAATTCCAAGAATCCCGCCCGAACTAATTTTCTGAGTTGCTGTTACCCTCCACTTGAATTAATGGCGTTATTCCCATCCTGGGAAGGCCAGCTTTAGTTAAAAGCTCGGAACCATTTTCATCGGCAAAGTTCAGACCAAGACGTTTCTCCAAATTGCGCAGCTGACGAGAGATTACCCTATCGTTATATGAAAAATATATTCATTATGGCTATGTAATTTAGCCATGACAAATATTGAAATGATCTACTACCGTGCGACCTGACCTAGCAAAACAAGAGGCAACCAAACCAACGCTACTGAAGATGTTTCCAATTCTGTGCAGTTTTGATAACAAACACGTACGCCAATTATAAATGAATTATTTGCACATTTAGCCGTACATAGATACTGGCATGGAGAAGACAACCGAATTAATTTAACGTAGAATTAGAAAAGAGTGAGTGGATACTTGTCAACCAGCGTTATTTCTCTATAATTGGTGTGTGATCACTGTTGATTATGGTTTAACGTTAATTATGATGTGACACATTTTCAACATTAGGTTTAGTAAACACATGCTAGGGAGAATATAACTATTTTTATAAGATCAATATGCCTTTGACAGCGACTTATAGACATGTGAAAATACTCGTGTTTTACCAGTTTTGCATAACTTCAGTTATCAGAATTTCTGTTTGTCCGATGGCAGAATTTCGACGCCAGTAGTGTCATAAGAGTACACATTGCATAATCACGGAAATGGCAATAGCAATGGTAAATGAGGAGTTTCTCGAGGTCTCGCTCAGTGTTACATGAGAAACTGTTAAGCCAGCATTGTTTGAGCCCTTGTTAAGTCTAAAGAAACAATTGGCGGTTACATGTCCACGTAGGCTGCAAGCATTTGAATCTTAACAAGTGGTAGCACCAAGTGTCAGTTTCTGGCAGATATATCGTGCTTGCACCGCGCACCGACAATCATTGAAACAACCTTCAGCTAAAGTTGACACAGTGAGGCAAAGGCAGTCCTCCTCAAGCAGGTTGTTCGGCTCCCCGTCACACCACGGAGTTATCAAGGCACCATCATTCCATCTCCAGATACCTTCCTCCTGAAAGTCATCTGAGCCAACCCAGATCCATCTTGTTGAAGCCCAGCCTGAAATAGAAATATGCACCTCGACGTACTGAAAAGGTGTAAGTCCTATAATCTGCCTGAAACTATTAGGAGTACATCATTTTACCCATAAAAACTGTTTTTCATCTATCACGTCATCCATATCATGATTTACTTAACTTTTAACTACATCGTGAATATATTTTTACAAATATAACGTCGTTAGGACGTTGTGTTTGTTCTATAAGAACAAGTACAAAGGTACCGTGTTCTTCAGTAAAAGTGACCGAGTTACAGTGTCCGAAATAGCCACTGACCCGCTATCCCGTAGCTAGTAAAAATCCAGTCGGGCCAGTCAATCTCCAGAGTCACTGGATCGACTGGCTAGTGAATTGTCATAGGGTCATTTTGTAAATATATCACCCTCTCCGACTTGTTAAGTTTAATGCACTTTTAAATCATGCAAGATTATGGTCTGATAGCAGCTTGATGATGAGAGAGACAGTTCCATACTCTGACTGATTTTACCAAAAGGTGTTAAAGAAGTGTCTTGGATAACCTGTGCGTCCCTCGGTATTACAGTGTAAAAGAGAAGGAGAATTTATGATGTTTGTATGTGATTGTGGAATTACGTGCCATTGGACAAACGTTGTAAAACCGACATAAGTCCGGACAAGTACCCATACTTCTCACACATATGCATCCATCATGATTTATTTTAATTCAACTCTAACATTGGAACAGTGTGAAATACTAGTACACAATGCCATTTTAGAAAGTGGATCCAATGACGGTACTGCCGGCAACTGTGTCACTATCTTTGAGTGAACAATATCGTTCCTAAAAAACTTATATGTTCATGATTTATGAAGTTGGATTATAATAAAAAAACTGTCAACGAAGGACAGTAACATCAACTAGAATATCACAGATAAACAGTTTAAAACTAATTTAAAAATTAGAACAGTTTAGAACACTGCAATATAAAAGGGGGCTATAGATCGCCAGCAGCAATAATTTTACCCCATTGCAACCGCCTTTGAAGGTAAAGCCACTTTTCAGGTTATACAAATATACGACATGGAACTTCTACAAACTAAGACGTTTCATGGCAGATGTGTGATTTTTCAAGCATCTTGCAGGTAAGACGATCTGGATTTTCAACATTTTTAAACTCATGCTTTGTCCTGTTCATGCTGATACTAGAATTTGAAGAAAGTGTTTTGCAATTTTCAACAAGAACAACTTTAGTGAGACCCGTACCTACCATTAATGAACATGTGTCTGACGATTTCGTCAAATAACCTGACAGGCGTCATCTGAGCCAGCACTGCTCCATCACTGAGGCATGCGTCTGAGGCAGCGGTGTAATTACTAGATACACTGGACATTTTCAGACAAGTCCAGCCGATGAAGGTGTACCCAGGAGGACAAGTCCCTGTAGGTTAGAAAATATAAGCGAAAAAGTATTTCAACATCCAAATGAATTGCTTGTGTGATTTCAATAATATCATGAGCATGAGCGTATTGTGGTTATCGGTGACACACGAATATATCACACACTCCATAAGACAAGTTAATTCGATCTCATTACTAACATGGTCGATATACGATAAGTATTTACGGGTTAATATGCCAAGAGTATTCGTGAGTGAGTTTAAAATTTACTGAACTAGGTAATACCTTATCAAATGTAGTTTATATTGGAGTATACAATCTGTCTGCAAAGGACAGTAAAACAACTAGAATATCACAAATTGAAATATTAAAACTAGCATTTAGCTTAAACATTATTTGACTATTCGGGACGATACAATATAAAAACAGGCTATAGATCCAAGAGTAATCGTCTCTGGATAAGCGGGCAAGATATCAAAACAGGTGTCGTAATATACCGTCGGTCCCACAGAATAATCCGCCTTGATTATGTAGAGGGTAATGTCCGAGTAACTCTCCATTCCTTAAAAAATAATGGAGCCGAGACCCCGGAGGGGCCAAGGCACATTATTTTTAAGGAATGGAGAGTTACGAGGATATTACCCTACTTAAATTACATTCGAAGTATTGGGAATATTTCTGTTATCAAAATTAAATGTCAAAATGACAAAATGAAGGTTTTACTTTGAAACTGGTACACATCACTCCATTCCTGAAAAGTAATGGAGCGAACAGACAATGGAATGACGTCACAAATATAATTTAATTGTGGGAAAGTAGTGCAACGATTTTATTAAAAAAAAGAACTGTATGTACTCACCCTCCTTCGTGTATGATTGCAATCCCTCTTCATTGAGAGGCTCATCTTGGGGTAGGACAGTGTATGACATCATATGACAGAGTTTACTTGCCTCACTGAACGAAAGGGAATGACACTCAAGCTCTGAAGCACATGCTTGAGCACACTCAATGGGGCTCGAAGAGGATAATGTTTTGTACGAGGCTGTTGCGTTGAGTTTGATCAAGCCCTGTTGAAACTTTGAGACTTTACAGTTCACCAAATATACAAAGTCCCACTGGGCAATGAATATGCACGCTATGAGAGTAAAGTTCGTCAGCTCCATCTGTGCCGTACGGTCATACATTCGATATAGCTGTACAACTGACCGCTGCTTGCCCGGTATTGACCGACTTGGTTCACCAACTTTAGATAATGTCTGATGGCATGGCTGCGGATAACAAAAGTATGAATTTATTGGACTACATTCCCTTACAGTACCAAGTGCTAAAACATATAACGGGCAATTTTATATGTGAGCTATTGACATATAATCAATAACCTGTCATAGAAAAATTCACTGCGCAACTTTAGGATGCTGACAATGCTACAAAATACGTAAAAGTAAAAGAAAACAACATTACCATCAGGAGGGGCTTCAATTAAAGCTCACATTGTTCAGGGCCTTTTCTGGATCTATGAACCTTCAAACAATGTATTTACAAGCAACTGAGTTTTTGTCTTCATAAGCCAATTATCAGTCAATTCAGTAAGTTTCCAGATAGTGGATAATGGGACAGGTGTATGCAAATATAACATTATTTGTTTTTGATGGAGGATTTGTGAAGGTTGTTCAGCAAAGCTGGCTATTTTTGTGTTTGTAAATATGTTTTATTTAGCTAATTGCGGGGAATTAAACTCGACACAACACACGATGTACTTTTCATGACAACTCTTTATGATCCCACGTTTATCATTCACATGGTCACAACACAACGATCTTGATATAGAGGGCGATGTTAAACCTGTAACGCAAAGTACAAATAAAACATTTCAACAGTTTAAAAAAGTCATGCGATATCTGTACTGTCACTCAACCTGAAACCGCCTCCGTGGTGTAGTGGTTAGAGCGTCCGCCCGGAGAGCGGAAGGTCGCGAGTTCGATCCCCGACCGCGTCGTACCAAAAGACGTTCAAATATGGTACTTGTTGGTCCCTGTCTGGCGCTCGGCATTAATGGGTACAACAATGACAGTGTAATGTGTCTGAGTGGGGTATTCATGCTTCACTGCGGTATGGTATCTCAGTGGGCTAGCACAAGCTTACGTCTGGGCTAGTACAAGCAGCCGCACGAAATATTCTCAAGCACGACGTTAAACCCAATTTCACCTCACCTCACTCAACCTGATGACGCCTTCTTAGATGACGTTGTGAAGGTGGCCATCCATCGATCAGTCCACTCCTTGATCCACGTTGATCACGCTTACATTATGACGGGTGCAGTTCCCATGTAGTGAGTGAGTTAAAATTTAACGTCGCCTTGGCAATATTTCAGCTATTTAGTTTCGAGATAGGTTTTGCATACACAAGGAATACAAGTTGTTAAATATCCAGTCATCAAAGGACTGTTACATAACTAGACACATGTTCTTTGAGTCAATGGCGTGATTTCAATAGGATGTTTTTGGGTTGTTGGTAATTTCTGGATCAGTTTTGTATTCGTGTCGCTAGCAAACCGTTACAATAGTCCGTAAGAGTATAAATCATCTAACAAGAGCTTATGGCCGTGACAACTTGCGCTAATGTTACACAGACGAAATATTTGATATTCAATGTTGACGTTGGAGTTAATATACTGAGAGAAACAAATACAGGATCACAGGAAAATTCAAAGCATTCCTTTATTATATACCAGTTTTCATCACCACAGCGCTATTCAAAGCTGGTGAAGAAAACTGGAAAATATTAAAGGAACACTTGAATTTTCCTGTGCTCCTCTATTTGTTTCTCTCAGTATAGATACTCAAACGTTCTTACTGAGAGATGTAAACAAAGGGGCTTGGTAAAAGAAAACATAAAAATGCACGGCCAAACAAGTCTAAAAAGGATAGCTATGACGAGTTCTGTGTCTAAATCTAGTGAGTGAGTGAGTGAGTTAAGATTTAAAGTCACATCGGCAATATTTCAGCCATATCGTGACTAAAGCAAGTTATAAATATATCAACAATTCAAGTGAAATTATAAAATTCTGCCAACGAAGGACAGTAAAATAACTAGATAATCACAGATATATATGTAAAACTAGTAATTGAATCTAAAACATTTTAACTATAGGGGACAACACAATATAAAAATGGGCTATAGATCGCCACCAACTGAAGGTAGATCACCATGCTAGGAGCCATGGGGACTTACATTACTTTGCTACCTGCATGGATCCTAGCTGGATTTACACCATCCCTTCAGCTGCTGGCGATTGGAAGAAATGTTAGCCAAAATTAAAGAACAAGAATACTACGTTTAAAAATCCTGGCAAGTTTAAATTGACTTTGAAGGTTTTGGGACTTACGTACCCTCTCAGGAGGACAATAATTTTTACGCTACGTCAACCCCTTTAAAGGGGTACAGCCACTAACAATCTCAGTTACTAATAGAAACTACCAACAATATAATATTTAACTATTTACAGATCAGTCAACAAATCTAATTCTCTTAAAAATTCAACTATTAAATGATAATTAACATTATAAAAAAGATCCTTCAATGTCTTGACATTAAAATACTTATCCCTTGTGATCGAATATTCAACACAGTCAAGCAGGACATGCTTGACTGTGATTCTTTCATCACAAGGGATGCAAAACGGAGGATCTTCGCCTTTCAATAAATATTCATGAGTATATCTTGTGTGGCCAATGCGACATCGTCATATATTGACCTCTTCAAATCTGGACTGACAACCCAAGTAGGTGTAACCAATGTAGGGTTTTATTGCATGTAATTTATTTATACCTACTTGGGTGTCCCACTTCTTTTGCATTAGATCGCGGATGTATGTTCTAATGCTGGATTTATAATCAGAGTATGGGAGCAGAAGTGGTGTCACAGATTTGTTGAGGGCTGCCTTAGCAGCAAAATCAGCCATTGTATTCCCAGAAATGCCAACGTGGCTGGGTAACCAACAGAACACGATGTCGCATTGGCCAGTAGCAAGAT